CTGACCCTAAACCTAACCTCACAGGTACATACCTGACCCTAAACCTAACCTAAAATCAATTCACACCTTAATCCTAACCCTGACCCCTGACCCCTGATCCACCAACAGTATTTCACACAATGGGAACCGGGTTTTTGTCCACATTAGAAACAGTTTGGTGTTTGTGGGTTAGCAGACAGGAAACTTTCTAGATAGTTATCATACAAAGTATGTACCCTGTAAGTTACTCCATAAGTATTCCATGGGTTGCCCAGAAAGTGACCTGTATTTTACCCAATAAATACCTTGTATCTTGCTTTAAAAGTACCCTGTTTGTTACCCAGTAAGTACCTTGTATGTTACTTTAAAAGTACCCTGTGTGTTACCCAGTAAGTACCTTGTATGCTACTTTAAAACTACTCTGTGTGTTACCCAGTATGTACCTTGTATGCTACTTTAAAAGTACCCTGTTTATTACCCAGTAAGTACCTTGTATGCTACTTTATAAGTACCTTGTTTGTTACCCGGTAAGTACCTTGTATGTTACTTTATAAGTATCCTGTTTGTTACCCAGTAAGTACCTTGTATGCTACTTTAAAAGTACCCTGTGTGTTACCCAGTATGTACCTTGTATGATACTTTATAAGTACCCTGTTTGTTACCCAGTAAGTACCTTGTATGTTACTTTATAAGTACCCTGTTTGTTACCCGGTAAGTACCTTGTATGTTACTTTATAAGTACCCTGATGTTACCCAGTAAGTACCTTGTATGTTACTTTATAAGTACCCTGTTTGTTACCCAGTAAGTACCTTGTATGTTACTTTATAAGTACCCTGTTTGTTACCCAGTAAGTACCTTGTACGCTACTTTAAAAGTATCCTGTTTGTTACCCAATATTCTGTACATTACATACTAAGTACCCTACTGTATCTCACAAAAGTGAGTACAATCTTCACTTTCATTGCCAGACATGTACACATTGATGACAGTGTTGAGTTATTTTGAGGGGACAGTGACACTGACATTATTATACAAGCAGAGCACTGAGCACTTTTCATTGCATTAAAGTGTCAAAAATAATAAAATCTAAATTAATATTTACAAATATGTGAAGAGTGTACTCACTTTTGTGAAATACTCTGTAGGTTACCCAAGCAGTACCTTGTTTGGTCCTCTTTATGTACCCTGTATGTTACCTGGTAAGTACTTGGCTGTAATATGTATTGCTACTAAATAAACTTACCAAGTATTGTGAAAAGTTTTAAATGTTTGAGCAGAAACTTTCTGTGAAACGTCAGTAAGAAGTCAAAGGGTGGTGCAGTCTCTTCAAACTGAATCCATTTGCGCTTCAGTTGTGATCCCTTTGCCTCTTCCTGCTCCTGCAGAGTGTGATCTTGTTTAGAGGAGAACCTTTTCCTGCCCCGCACTTCAAATATACAGTTTAGATTTTTCACCTGAGTGATGTTCGTTATCGAACATCTACTTCTCCTCATCAGCGGAGGCACCGCTCCGGTTCCGCAATCAGAGCCAGCGGCTGAACTAAACATGTCTCCCTTGTTGGAGGAAGGCTGACGGAGTGTTTTGAGAAGGACGAGACCCCAGATGTGCAGACAAAAAGACCCGGGGCATCATTAGAAGCCCCGTGCCTGCAGACGGCACAATGACATCCAAAATGGATGAGGGTATGAACTGAGTTATTGCTGAGCAAATGTCCAAATACCATCAGTCTTTTGTCTGTGTTTGGATCAGTAATGCAGTCCAGGCTGAGCAGATGATCTGTCTTGTTGCGTGTTGAAGATGTTTTGTAGCTGTGGAAGATGAATAATTCAGACTTCTTGAGTTACTAAAGCTCTTGATGTTTGTTATTTATCACCTGCAGCCAAAAGGCAAATGCAAGAGATGCAGAGTTGTAAAGTAACCAAGTACAAATACTTTGTTACTGTACTTAAGTAGAAATTTTGGTTATCTGTACTTTACTTGAGTAATTATTTTTCAGCGTACTTTTTACTTTTACTAGTTACATTTTTACACAATTATCTGTACTTTCTACTCACTACATTTTTTAAAAAGGTAAGAAGTAGAAAGTTGTTACTCAGTTGTTATTACTTAAAAAATACTATCCTGATAAACTGTGTCTCCTGGATAG